CTGGGACAAAAGACAGCTGTGACTGGAGTGAGGAGAGATTTATTTTAGCTCAGGGTTTGTGAGGTTTGAAGGTCATCTGGAGACATGGGGGAGAGCATGGCGGAGGGAAGCCGCTCGTCTCACAGCAACAGCAAGAAGAGAGCAGAAGGGCCTGCGAGGCGGGGCCGGGACTAGATGTGGTTCCTCGGTGAGATCCCACCCAGTCCAGTCAGCGATGGCCTTACAATGATGCCATCAGTGTCCTCGCAGTCCTGTCCATCAGACTCTCAATCCAGTCAAACTGGCAATCAAGAGTAATTAGCACTGGTTTATATAAGGAAATAATTAATACCATAATGTGACATTAGCATATGGAGTAAAATAAATTGTATTAACTCACTCATATTGGTAAAGTGTGGCAAAATTCAATGCACAATTTTGATAAAAATAATTCAGGAATATAAACACTGAGGAATGTGTTTGTGTAGCTAAAGTCAAGGCCTTATTTAATGCAGAAAGAATAAAATCATTGCTGCTGTCCTTGGGAACGGACATGTCTGTGTCCACCACGGCTCAAGTGTGCTTCCCACAGTGGGAGGCTGGTTGGCCCATAATAAAGGCCTGGTTCCTGGAGCAGTGAGATGCTGTGGAACTTTAAGAAAGGGGATTGGTGGGCAGGCTCAGGACTTCTGAGGTGTGTCTGTGAAGGGAACTGTGGGCGCCTTACCTTTTGGCCCTGTTTCCCAGCTCAAGATCCAAATGTTCCCTCCGACCTGCATGTCCATCATGATGGATAGTCCTCCTCAGAAACCCAGAACCAGGGCACTGCCGATGTCGGGCTGGAACCTGCAGAGCTGTGTGCCCACGTGTGCCTGTGTCGGGTGTTTCATTATAGTGAGGGAAAACTAATAAGCACTAGAGGAAGCAGTCCACTCAACCACCGTAAGCAAGTCAAGGCACACAGGACTGAGCAAAGAACTAAAACTCTCTCTACTGTATGATACATCTGCCAACCCTGAAAGGCTGAAAAGAGTAACTAACCTGGCCACAGGCACAGAGCAAAACAGACTCCGCAAAACAGGAGGACAAAAATAGTGGTGTTTTTTTTTTTTCTTCTATCGGTACCGGGGATCGAACTCACGACTGCCTGCTTGCAAGGCAGGCGCTTATGCTGCTGAGCTATATCCCTAGCCCCAGGAGGACAAAAATGAACATGCTGTAACCTTCATACACACAGACCAAGTTAAAACACATAATGAAAACATCATTTGCAACAATAACAATGACTGAAAATAGAAATTCGTTTAATAGGATATGTGTAAAATATATATGAGGAAAACTTTGACATGCTCCTAAAAGTCACTTGAATAAATAGAAAGACATTTCACATTCTTGGGTAGGACAACTAAACATTGTAAAACACTATTTCTTCTGCATTTAATTTATAAATTCAGTATTATTCAGTAATAAGGCCAACAAACCATTTTATATAATTAGTAAATTGATACTATGGAATTTGCACATGACTTGGAACAAGAAAACACAAGGAAAATCAGTTCTACGAGAGATCAAAAGACATCATGAGGTGCCTGTAGTTTAGAAGATATGGCATTGAAGTCCAGATAAACCAACCAGGAGAATAGCACAACAAACCCATAGTTAAAGACAAAAACATATGGAAAGGCAGTTTATGAACATGCTGACATCTCAAATTATTGGCTTAAAGTTACTAATTTTAAATGAATGGTGTTGAGACCACTGGAAAAGCTAAAATAAGATTCACGTCTCATACAAAGTACAAAAATAAACCACATGAATTAGGGAATCTAAGTGCAAGAAAATGAAACCACATAAACACTGGAAGAAAAGGTGGGTCAATTCCTTTTTGATTCTGGGGTAGTAAAGTGTTTCCAAACCATGACTCGAAATCCAGAGCATTTGAAGAAAGATTAGAAACCTGACTATATCCAAGCAAAAATAGAAGCATTACAATACCTGACAGTTAGGCAGCAGCTAGAAAACTGGGAGAGAATATTAATGATGACCCAGGCAGAGAGCTAAGATCATGACCATATGGAGGACTCTAAGCCATTGGGGCCCAGCAGGTGGCAAATCTGTGAGCAGAATAGGGAGTCACTCACAGAGTGGACAGTACTCTGACTATGACAGTGATTTAGTTACACAGCCTTTGGGGTCACTAATCCAGTGAACTGAAATGCCTCTGCTAGTGATCTTTGTTTCATGAGCGCTTTCAGAGCCTGTTCTTGTACTGTCTTGTATTGGGAGTGTCTACCATACTAGAAGGTTCTTTAGCTCTGTCCTATCTCTCCTGCTGCCACAGGAAGGAGTTAAAATCAACAGTTCATGTTTCAGTGATTTTAGAGGAACACGCAATTGGGATAACTCTTGACTGTCCTGGTAATGTCTCTTGAGTTCCACCACTGCACCCAAAGGTATGGCTGTGGAGCATTATTGCGAGGTGTTTCCATGACTGTGGAAGACACCTTCACTGGGGGCAAGCACCACCCACTGACATGAACAGAACACAATGGGCAGAGAAAGAGCCAATGTCCTTCTCTTCCTGCCTCATGCATCAGCACCCCAGGCTCCCCTCAGGCTCCAGGACTTGTGGCAGCAGCACCCCTGGAGACACCAGAACTTCTGCCTGTCTTTGGAGTTGAGCTGACCTACTGATTTTTAGTGATTCCATGGCTGCAGGCACTCTGGGAAGGAGAGGTATGTGGTCCTGCCTCATCAGATTCTGTTGCTAGGCAGCTGGGGGCTGTTTCTATGGGGAATGGCTGCAGCCTGGCTCAGCCATCAGAAAACTCTTCAACCAAATTCCACCAAGCCACCTCGGTGTTGCTTGTAAATTGCTGGGCATGGCTAGTGCATTTTATTTTATTTTATTTTGTTTAGACAGGGTCTTATTAAATTGCACAGGCAGAGCTTGAGCTTGTAATCCCACCATTCCTAGTTTGTGTCTCTGACTTTTTAATTAACCAGAATTGGTTTCTGTCATTTCAAATCAAAGAAAAATTAACTGTAGTAACACTGGCTGTATTTATCACTTATAAGGTTCTTTTGTTGTTGCTTTTTTTTGTTTAGAGATTTGACATACTAGTTCATAGTGGATGCTTTGTTAAATTTTATTTCCTCTAGGAAATCTGTTCTTGAGTGCTTTTGATGCTAATTTTTCAGTGGTTTAATAAAAAGCAGTTATTCCTGTAGCTAAATGGGATTAACTTCAAAGCTACAGCTTCTGTGTATGTGTCGAGCTCACCCAGCTGTCTCTCCTGCCCTGGCCTGGGCTGCCCCTGGAGGCTGAGACAAGGCACTGTGGGTAGTAAGATGCAACTTGCGGGAGGGCTGGGAGAAAAGAGGCCAATGACATGAAGCTGTTGTTACATATGCTGGAGAATCTGGTAAAAATCCCACTGTGAAACAGATGAAAATTATTCATTAAGATGCTATTCAGAGGGAGAATGTAAGCAATAAAAAGCAGTTGTCTACAGCAATATCATACAGTCCATCACTGGAATCATAAGCGCCATGGACGGCTAGAGATTGATTCTGGAGAATGTCACTTGCTCTGCTCAACCCCCTCTCCTCCTTCCCAAGAGTCTGCTTAGAACTAGCTTGCTTGACAGCATACGAATTTATTCATGTAACCAATTATCTGATAACCAGCCCTGTGCTTCCTGTGTGTGAACTGTATTTAAACTGAACCCTAAGCCGACTTGGCTCTGGTGACTTAGAGCTGATTCCCACCAGCTCGCTAATGTAATAGAAGTTGCCTTCTAACTCTTTGGTGCAGAGGGTCTTCCATTCAGTTCGACACTGGTTTTTCTGCAACAATAGGTTCAGCACATCTGTGCAGTGTGGAAGGTATTAGGTTCAGCACATCTGTGCAGTGTGGAAGGTATAGAGAACGCTATGCCTTACTTTTCCCACCTTGTTTTTCTCCTTCGTTATTTATGTCTACCCTAAGAATCCCCCTGGAATGGGTGCCAGGCCCTCTGCAGACACCAGCCCACTGATACCCGAGTCCCGTATATAAACAGTTTGCACAGAATCTACTCAATGCTGCCTGTCCTTCTCATCATCCCTGGATGACCAACAACACGAAAATATCATGGAAACCATTGCTACACAATCATAAGAAAATAAAGAGCGCCCATGTTTGGGAGCAGTTTTTTTTTGCATATTTTCCATTGGGTTTGGTTAAATTCAGGTGTGTGTCCTGTCTTGTGGATCCTTTTCCATTCTGCAAGCTTTCATGTGACCTCACTTCACAGGACCTCATTCTCTGGCCATTGCCCATTGGAGGGATGGGCACAGCTGACCCAGAGAAGGCTGCTTGAACAGGGGAGCTGGGCTCACCTACTAAGGACTCTGCTGGAAGTTTAGAATTTACACAGTTGAAGGTACGATGGCTGATGTCGGGAAACAGTGAAGCAGGTGAGGGCCACGTGATCCTGCAGGCTGGAGAGCTGCAGGGGAGGCAGATGTGACATTCAAGTGGAAATGATGGGCAGTGATGCACTGCATAGGAGAAGCGTGGAGGGCTTGGGGATGAGGAGAGCATGAGAGCAGGAGGGGAGAGAAGGGGATGGAGGCAGGGGCATGGGAACGAAGTGGGAGGAAGCCAACAGGAATAGGATCTCAAGTTCTGCCTTCTCTTCTTTTGAGGCCAGCTACTTTGGTTCCTTTATTTTGTTCATATAGTGATTTCTGTTTTTATTTTGTAATCAATATTCTTTGTGTTGCACTAGCTTCAATGACGCTAAGTTTTTCAGAACAAAAGTAATTTTGATTAAAAAATGTCAGGTTGTCCTCCCACCCAGTCCACGGTACTAACTGTTCTCTGTTGTTAGCATAGTGTGGATTTTAGAACATGCACCTGATGCTGCTCAGATGTAAGCTCTTAATCCTTGGTAAGAAAAAAAAAAAAGCAGTCTATTTGTGCACTCTGTTCCTGGACCCCATGTGCATAAAGACATTCGAGGAGCTGGACTCACCCACTTTTAGCCTCCCCGTGACTTCTCCTTCTGAGTTGCGCGCACTTACAGTTACATTCTGAGTGGATTGTAGAAGCAGAGATGAGTCCTGGAAAGGGGTTTACAAGTTAGCAAAAGATGTCTTTAGATTTGCATTGAATTTTAGACTTATGAAAAATTTCTACTTTATCAACAGATCATAGGATCCTATAAACTTGAAGGCTAAAAGTATTTAAAAATTTTGGATTATGTTGCGAGAGTAAATGTATTAACTTTGGATTCACAAAGCTGTGCACAGTCATTAGTGCTTTCTATGACCATACTGTAATTAGTGCCTTTTCTTTTCCAAGGAATTAAAATTCTTTAATTGTTGTTGCTATTTATGCCCAGGACAAGATATATTTTAAGAAGATAAATCACAGAATCATTAGTTATTTGAGAAATACCATGCTATTTATTTTCAAAATGAGATTTCTTACAATTTAAAAAAAAAACCAGGCACAGAGAGACAGGTGTGATGTGATCTCAGAGAAGTGGAGAAGAGAGGGGGTTCCTGGAGGCCAGCAGAGTAAGGGGTGGAACTGACAAGGGGACACTGACCAGGGGGACTGAGTCACGGTGTAAAGGAGGCAATACATTCCGTGTGCTGTTGTGCAGGAGGGAGACTATAGATAACAAAAATATACTGTACACACTGAAGAAAGAAGCTTGGATTTCATCAAATTCATAAGTGATAAATGTTTATGGATATAAATATCTTTAACCTAATTTAAACATTACACAATGTACACATGTATCAAAACAACACATGGTACTCTGTTGAAATACATATAGATACATATATATAGATAAAGTTTATGCTTTTATGGATCAAATATTTTAATTATAAAAAAGAGCTTTTAAAATCAGTTGGGTGCGTATGATTTTTGAAATTTTTGTTGGAAGACAGTGAATTTCCAAGCACTTAAATGTTTTCTGGGGTACCATAATAAACTTTTGGAATGGAAAATTGGTTGTGTTTATGTAAGTACTTGTCTTTAAAGGAAATGTAGTACTTTGGTTGTACAATGCATATGGATTTATTTTTCTCTCACAGGAACTGAGAATCTTCCAAAGTGGAGGGAATTCTGTGATTTTTCAGAAGGAAAAATGTTCTAAGAGCTTTGTGAAAGTATCTAGAATGTAAGAAATTCTCTCACTTGCTCTGGGAAAACAGACAAGTCCATCAGCATCTCACATGTTATCTGGTGATGTGGACTTAATGCTTGCTTCACATTGTCAGAAAGTAATGCATGATGATGAGAATGAACACCTTGCCAGTGACTTTAGTGAGGATCCCCTCACTTTAGCCTCCACGTTATAAAGGAGGTAGATGAGGAAACTGATGTGGGAAAGAACAGATTACTGCTCCCCCGAAGTCACAATGAACAAGTTCCATGATGGAACGTGATCTTTAGATGCCCCTTTCTACTGGAATGGGATAACAGAATTCAGGCTCGAGCTGGGAGATCCCATCCCTGTGCCTGGACAGAATCAGAGCTTGTGGAGGTCTCTTCTGGTTGTCTGGGACAACAGGCACTCTAGCCCTTTTTCTAGGAACGGCTACTGCTTATTTTCCCAGTAAGACCTGTGGTTAAGAGTGGCCAAGCCTGGCTCAGGGAGGTGGAGACTGAGGCCTGCTGGGATGGGGCTGGGTGTCGTGGTACACGAACAACAGCACTGACATCTCCAGCCACACGCCTTGGATATGGTCTAGTGGTCTGCGAGTGACCACAAAGGGAAGTAGGAGGACGACAAAGACACTGTCCCAACACTGCAGAGTCTGAGGCCAGGCTGTAGTTGCCCCCTCCAGCTAGTTGTTGTGTGAGAACTAAAGCTTCTGTAAGGTTATGCTGATGCTGTTTTGGTATTCTCTTGTTCAGATGAGAAGCCTCCTCCACTGACACATGAGAAGGCAGAGATGGCGGCACTCTGGTACCAACAATAAAGCAATGCACAGGCTTCCCTGGTACCTGCAGGGGACTCGACTCCAGGCCCCCTGAGGATATCGCAACCCCTGGACGCACCTGTCGGTTACAGAAAGTGCATGGTATTTGAATAGAATGTAGTGTACCCTCCTGGATGCTTGAAATCATCTCTTATGATACTACCCCATGGGCATCTTGTGAAAACAGTTCTACTGTATGGTGTAGGAACAGTGACCGGGGTAAGAGTCTGTATATGTATAGGACAAATTGCTAAGAACACACATTTGATCTGAAGTTGGCTTAATCCATGGGTTTAGAGTTCACAGATATGGAAGGTGGTTTTTACTGAGTTGGGTGCTAATCTTCCTGTAAGGTTTAAAGGGCATTTCTTTCAGATGAAACTTTTCTTGTGCAATCTGACATTTCAGTCTTCACTTCTCTATAGGTACATGTATTTGTCTTTCGGTGCCCATCAGCCCATCAAAGCCTTTACTAATATTTCTGTTGGACTCTAAGGCCCCTCAGGCTTACAACGGGGTCTGCAGGCTTCTGTCCTCGGGTGTGCTGGTCCTAACCTGTCATCTTCTCTGTCCCCTCATATGTGGCTGGGCTCAAGCTTGTGCAGACAGCAACCAAGCCGCTTGCTGCCTTCATCACTGGCCAGTCCACGGGTCTGGCTGGAGCGCCATCCACGCAGGTGACATTTTGGCTTTGGGTGCAAATTACCCTGGGTTCTTTTCAGGGCTGTGAACCACAAAGATCATCACTTCAAGTAAAGTGTTGCGATCATGTGTTTCTGTGCTATTTCATTTTTTGATCATGGTTCTTTCCCTTTATTTTCTTTTTCTTTTCTTCTCCTGTTTTCTTTCTTTCTCTCTCTTTCTTTCCTCCCCTCCCTCCCTACATCCAACTTCCCTTCCCCTCCCTCCCTCCCTCCCTCCCTTCCTTCCTTCCTTCCTTCCTTCCTTCCTTCCTTCCTTACTTCCTTCCTTCCTTCCTTCCTTCCTTCCTTCCTTCCTTTGGAGGCAAGGTCTCACTATGCAGCCCAGGCTGGCCTTGAACCCACAGTGATTCTCCTCCCTCGACCTCTCCAGTACTGTTATCACAGGTGTGTATCACCATCCCCAGCCCACTTCTACATTTTTTAAACATACAGATTGAGAATCTGAATCTGAAAATCTAAAACCTCCAATGCTCCAAAACCTGCAACTTTTTGAGCACTGACTTGATGTCACAAGTGGAAAGTTTCACACTTGACTTTATTCGATAGTTCACAGATAAATGCTTAAGTACTACAAACACTATATTCCCCTTCTGGCGATGTGAATAAGGTATACTGGAAACACGAGTGGAATTTCTTGTCTAGACTTTGGTGCCATTTCCAAAATATCACATTATATATATTCAAACATCCAAAAACTGAAAAGTCTCAAACTCTTTTGGTTGTAACCACTTAGAAGAAGGGTTGTTCCACCTCGACGGTCCTCGTGTTTCATCAGAAATAACTGTCATGGATGTGGACTGAGGTCAGGGTGGATGGATTTAAATCACAAATCAGTACAGGCTCTTGTGCATTTTTGAGGGGTTACTGAGTAATCAGATTTTAAAGATCAGAGCACTATGTTTAATTATATTTATGATAAAAATTCTGTTAGCCCAGAAGTATAGATAGGTGAATAATGTGTCAAATTTTGCAGATTTGTTTTCCCTGCAATTTTCTGGAAAACTGTTTCCTAAACTTGCCTTTGAAAAAAACTTATGACTAATGTAACTGTGCTTAAAGAAGTTAACGGGCATGATTTTGTTCAGTAACTTCTATTGTTCAAAAGCCATTTTAGTTACAAAATTTTGTGCAGCTGTATTACCACATAATATTCCAAGTATTTCTGTCATTTCATTGTAGATTGACTTACCTATTAGTGCCACATTGTAAGACTTTAATGTGTGGCTATCTGAAATATTTTTGTAAGTTTGCTCCTTATTTTTTAAAAAGTGTACCAGAGATACAAGAGCTTGATAAAATTAACTCCAGAATATTATTTGTTATGGTCTAGTCGCCTGATTTCAATCACAACGACACTTTACTCTCTGATTTCTTCCAAGGTATGACAAGAGGTCAGTCAACACATCTCATGAAGAAAAAGGCTAAATTTTAATATTTGAATGCTTTATGTCTGCCTTCCCTTTTTACAAAAGCTTGTGTTAAGTTCCTACGTACCTGTATGACAGGGTTACTTAACCCTCTACAATACCTTTGTGATTATTGTAAGTCTATGATTGGAAACAGCTGAGTCACGAATTGACCAATAAGATATTCCTAGAAGACATAAACTACAGACATGTACAAAAGTATCTACAAGCTTTGTATTCTCTGGATCTCTCTCAGTTTTTTACATTAAGTTTATGTTGCAGCCGAGCTGCATGCTCCAATGTCTAATTTAGGAGTGCGCTTTCCTTATTTAACAGAACCTGGTGTTTCTTAGTAGGAAGTTTTGTTTCACTGCTAATTTTCCTATGGAAGCTGTATAGCCTCACCAGGCATGCGATGTTAAAGTAGATGATCACATTTGGAAATGCTGAAGAAAAGTAAAGGATACACTCTTCAAATTAATTGGTAAATTATAACTGGATACAGTTAACTTTTTGGGAAGGGAAATGCCATTTATAGATCATGTTCACAATATTGTATAAGAAAAATTAAACATTAAAATGTGTTTGGCTTTATTTGGGCTATTCTTTTTGATAACTTCTATGGAATTAAATGAAGAAAATGTTGATCTACTTTTATTTTTTATTTTTATTTTTTTTTTAATTTTTATTTAAGGAGAAAAGAAAAGAAAGAAAAAAAAACAGTGAAGGGGTACAAGTTATACAGATTTACAGAATAAAAAAATGCGCAGTAGGAAATCACTAGTTAATGGATTACATATTGCCATCTTAGAAATAATTGTTCAAGTCACAAAATTAAAGCTTGTAGAGTGGACATTCCACCAATGATACTGCAAACAGTTCTGTTCAATGATCCAATAAAACTCTGTGATATCATTTTCTATCTTATACTTTTAAATATACATGCAGTTATATAGTTTAGAGCACTTTCTTTTCCTCTCTTTTGTACAGTGACTATTACACATTTTGGGTTTCATTGCTCCCACGGTTCTTGTTGCTTTTTTGGAAGAGAGTAAAACCAAATGTGACATAACAGAACAGAATCGGTCAAGTCAAAAGGGTGGACATAATAGATAATATAAAAACATAATACAAGGTGATCAACAATGGTTACCCTAATGCCTCCCGCTATTTCTAATAGAATTGCCTATATCATTAGTTGTAATACAATTGAACAAAACCGTAAAGAATAAAACCGACAAAACCAAAACATTGGAGACATTGTAGGTCTTCAAAAGTAGATAAAAGTCAACGAGAATGGGTGTTATAATGAATCTCATTATCTTCTCAGCTGATGCCTAAACTTTCGAACCTGATACTATCCAGCAAAACAGAATATAGGAACCTCAGTCAAAAACAAGATGGTGAGAGTAATACAGGGCTTCAAATCGAGATAATAGAAAGTCAAAGTGGGTTACTATATTATATCCTGCTATATTTTTCCCTGTAATTAAATGGGTAAAAATAAAAAAGTAAATAATGGAGTGGAGATTGAGAAAAAAAGAGGGCATAACAGCAAAACAGGGCAGATCAAAACATAACCATTTAAGCAGAATAGTGTTTCACCACCAGCTAATCCTGACCCAAAAATAGTTACCATATTGACTCCCTCCCTGAAGTCCTTGAGTACAACTTCATATACTGTAGCATTAAGTATATCAAAACAATGTAAATCCATTTAAGAGAATAACAGCATTATAGAGTATTTAGAATCGACTAACAGAAAATGAACAATGGTCTCTGTATAATCTCCTTGTCTTTAAAAGGTTTTTTCTTATACTATCATACATAGTAAAATCCAATAAGATACAACCTGTTCAGACCATTGGAGACAGAAGAACAAAAGCTAGATGAGACTTCAAAACAAGATGGTACTAAATCAGCATTACCTATTAAGATGTCATTTTCTCCAAAAAAAGCTGTTCCTATCATCCAATCTTCTCTGTCTCATTTCTGTTGAGCTCTTTTTCTGTCAGTAGCTGTCAGTTTGTCTTCTTCGTTTTGGTCTCTGCTCTATTCGTTGTGGCCTCCCCGCCCCTATTTCTGGGTTCTTTGTATTTTTCTTTTTTTAGAATATCCTGCAATACTTTCTGTAGGGTTGGATTGGTGGTTGCAAATTCCCCCAGTTCCTCTTTATCTTGGAAGCACCTTGTTTTTCCATCAATTTCCAGGGACAGTTGTGCAGGATATCTCAATCTTGGCTGTAGATTATTATCTTTCAAAGCTTGAATTATTTCTCCCCATGCTCTTCGTGATTTGATGGTTTGTGAAGAGAAATCTGCTGTAATTTTGATGGGTCTTCCCTTGTAAGTGATCTGTTTCTTGTCTCTTACAGCTTTTAATATTCTGTTCTTGTATTGAATTTCTGGAATTTTTATTATTATATGCCTGGGTGTTTCTCTGTTAGGGTTGTAGGTAGCAGGGGTCCTGTATGCCTCATACATTTGAGTATCTTTACCTTTTGCTAAATTAGGAAAATTCTCCTGGATTATTTCTGTTAGTAGCTTTTGTAGTTCACTTGTTTGTGTCCCTACTTCTTCTTTTATGTTCTTAATCCTTAAGTTATGGCTCCTCTTATCATCTTCTTGTCTTTGTATTATTGCTGTGTGTTTCTTTGTTATTTTTAAGAAGTTTTTCATTTCATTCTCCCATGTTTCAAGTCTGCCCTCCAATTCAGATAGTCTGTCCTTAGTTTCTTTCAAGCTGTTATGCCAGTCTTGGGTATACTTCTTGATTTCTTGATAGTCCCTTTGCACCTGCTTCACATACTCAATGCTTTCTCTGTTTTCTCCATCAAGCAATTCTCCCCTCTTTTTCTGTTCTTCCACTCCACCATCTGCTTTTTCCTGGGTGGTGCTTAGCATTTCTCTAACTATTCTGCATACTTCTAGCTTCAGGTCATTGATAACTTCATTCCTGAATTGGTCTATGAGGCTCTCTAAATGGCGCTTAATGTATATTGGTACAGTGTCCACTATTGCCTGATTCTCAGGATTGGGGGTCGAGGAGCCTTTTTTGTTGCTTCCCTTCCCCATATTTTCTGTTCCTTATAAAATGTAATCTTACACAGGAGGCCCGGCTTCCCTGCCTGTCAGCTACAGCTTGATCGAATTGCGCTGGCTAGTTGTTCCAGCTCACCGCTGCGCCCCAGGGAGTTGCGGAGGAGGCAGCCTACGCGGAAGTCGGTCGCTCCTCCGGGCCACCGTCAGGCTCTGGGATCTGGGCTAGGCCAGCCTAGGGAGTCCGCGAGCAGCGTCCCTCCGGCCAGGCACCTTTCACCAATCCCGTCCGAGAGGGAAATGCGCGGCTGCAGTTGCCACCGCGCCCTGCTCTTACAGGACTGCCCGCGCCCAGAAAATCCTCCGCTGGAGTCAGACTGCGGTAGGGAGTCAGTTCCTCGCTCACCTCGCCACCAGTCAGCCTTCCTTCCTGCCCGTCGCGTTTCCGAGACCGTTCCCAGACGCCCGTTCCCAGAGCTCGGGGGTCGCGTCTCTCCTTGCTGAGCCGCTGTGGAGGTAGCCGGCCGCCGCGCGGCGGGAAATCCAAGCCGCGGTTTCCAATGGCGCGGAGTCGAGCCTCCACACCGAGATTTTTCTGTTCCTATTTTAGCGCCAGGACTGTATTCCAAGTTGGATTCTCTCAGCCCAGTTCGTTCCTGAGTCAGCAGAGCATATCTCTACTGGTTCGTATCTCCTTAGTCCGCATCATTCCTGGCCTCTGAGCCGAGCCTTTAGAGAGCGTTCAGTAGCTGCTGTTGTCTGTCCGCCATGTTCTCCAGAGTCCAGCTTGATCTACTTTTAAAGTCTCACAATTACTTAATGGTGAAATTGGATCTACTTATGGAGACTTCTGTAGGATCATAGTCTGTAATTACCATAACGAATACAGACATACTATTGTGAAACTAATTTCTTCAGATAGGTTTTAATGCCCTGAAACAAGTCTAATTAAGCCACTTACCAAATGAAAGGAAGTTTAAATTGTTTTTGGGAAAAAATGTTTACTTCTTAAATCTTTAGTTCATTAAGGTCTATAATAATAAGGGCACCAAATTCAGATCTAAAACACGTGATTACTTAATAAACTTTTTACAGAATGTATTATCAGAGGTGAATTCCCTAGCATGATAGTTTTTATTAAAAGCACGCCACCCACCCACATACAGGTATGTATGCCCTCTAAAAATCTCTTTTCAAGCTACTGGATTTCTGTAATCATTATTGTTCATGAAGCACAGGGTATTTAGGTCTTTAATCTCTTTCTTACCAGTCTGGAGTGTATTACTTTGGCATACAACGGGAACAAAAATTCTGATTCTCCTTCTAGGCGAAGTCCATCTTTTGTCACAAGCAAGTGACCCATTCCTGTCTTTAAAAAAATGAGACATAAGAGTATTTCATTGTCTTGTTTCATTTTTCTTAGTATTGATCTAAATTATGCATGTATTTACAGACATTTTCTTATACTTTTTTGCTATTTTTCCTAAATGCCTTATTTAAAACTTTAGTTGTATTCCTCCTTAATTTTTTTTTGTGTGTAAATACAAAGAACTATTTGGCAGATACATACAAGAGTTAAAGAATCATTTTACAACAAACATTAAAGCTTCCACAATCATACTTAAAAAAGGAAACTCTAACCATTACTGTCTTTTTTTGGTGCCAGGGACTGAACTCATGATCTCACGCCTGACAGGCAGGTGCTGTGTCACACAGCAACATCCCCAGCCCTCTATTGCTATTTTTTTATTTTAAAGAGATTAAGACAAAAGAGGACATAACAAAGCAGATCAGATCAGAACAATGCAAGTAACAGAATTTTACCACAAGATAATCCAAAATTAACAGTAACTACCACCATGTCTCTTTGAAATGATTGAGCATAGCTTCATTTATGATAGTATCAAGCATAACAAAACAGTATAAATCCACTCAAGAGAATGAAAGCATTACAGGGCTTTCAGAACCAAATAACAGAGAATGAACAATGGCTACTATATTATCTCCATTTTCCATAGAAAATTTGTTAATACTATCACACATAATAATATCCAGTAAGATATAACAGGATAGAACCAAAGGCAACAGAAAACAAAACAGAAAAAAGCATAGTAGTACTTGAGAGTAAGATGATACTAAATCAGCTCTGGCTATTGTAATGTCTTCTTTTCTTTAAAATAGCTGTTTATACTATCACAGATAATAAAATCAAACAAACTAGGATAAAAGCATTCCAACTAATGAATGCAGATATTATAAGGCTTCAGAGCAATGTAATGGGGAATCATGATTACTACAAACTCTTATGTACTCTTATCATTTCTTACACTAGGGATACTATACGGTATATATACATGTGAGTTTGATTTATTTCGCTTATGAGTATGGTCTGTTGTGTCCATTTACTTATAAATATCTCAATGTGATCATTCTTTCAGTGAGCTGAGAAGTACTCATTGTATAAAAATGCCTCAGCTTTTTTATCCATTCCTCAGTTGATGGACACTTAGGTTATTTCCAAGATCTGGCTATTATAAATTGTGCTGCTATAAACATGGGTGCCCATATATCACGTTGTATAATGTTTTCAGTTCTTCTGGGAATATGCCTAAAAGTGGAATAGCTGGAACAAATGGGACTTCCAATCCCAGCTTTTTGAGAAATCTCCAGACTGACCTCCACAATGGCTGCACCAGTCTACACTCCCACCAAGAGTGCAGGAGAGTTCCTTTTTCCCCACAGCCTCTCCAGCATTTGTTGTTGGTAGTGTTCTTGATCCTGGCCATTCTTTCTGGAGTGAGATGGAATCTCAGTGTGGTTTTAATTTGCATTTCTCTAATGAGTAATGATGATGAACATTTTTTCATGTATTTGTTTGCCATTTGTATTTCTTCATCTGAGAACTGTGTATTCATCTCAGATGCCCATTTTTGGATTGGGTCTTTGAATTTTGGGGGTCTGATTTTTTTTAATTCTTTATGTGTTTTAGACAGAAGTCCTTTGTCTGAGGGAGAGTTCACTAAGATTTTTTCCCAGTTTGTGGGTTTTCTTTTCACTGTGCTAGATATTTCTTTTGACATGCAGAAACTTATTTTAATAAGAGGTGGTCCCAGTTATTGATTCTGGAAAGTATTTCCCATGAGGTTTGAGTCCTGTTCATGAATTCTCTACCTACTCCTATGTCTTCAAGGTTTCTAACCAATTTGTCTTAAAATAGATTTAGTGTTTCTGTTTTAATATTCAGATCTTTGATCCATTTAGATTTTAGTTTAGTACATGATGATAGGCATGGGTCTAGTTTTACTTTTTGACATATGGAGAGCCAGTTTTTCCAGCACCATTTATTAAAGAGACTGTCGTTCTTCCAGTGAACATGTTTGGTCCCTTTATCAAAGATAAGGTGGTTGAGTGTGTTTGTAGTTGTGGTTGTAGCTTCTATTCCATTGATCTTCAGCTCTGGTTTGATTCCAGTACCATGTTGATTTTATTACACTTGCTTTGTAGCATAACCTCAGGTCAGGATTGTCATGCCTCCTGCCTTGCCTTTGCTGCTTAGAATTTCCTTTGTTATTCTAGGTCTTTTTTGGTTCCAGATGAATTTTAGAAGTGACTTCTCTAGATCTATGTGGTATATTGATGCTATTTTCATTGGGACTGCATTGAATCTGCATAACATTTTTGGGAGAATGGCCATTTTACGATATTTATTCTTCTTTTCCATGAGCAAGAAATGTCTTTCCATTTTCTGAGATCCTCTTCAATTTCTTTTTCAGGGTATTATAATTTTCCTTGTATAGATCTTTTACTTCTTTTGTGAGGTTAATTCCTAAGTATTTCATTTTTTTGGATGTTAGTGTGAAGGATGTGGATTCTTTTCTGTTAGTCTGTTGTTAGTGTATAGAAATGCTATTGATTTTTGAGTATTGATTTTGTATCCAGCTACATTGCTGAATTTATTTATTATATCTAGGAGTCTTTCAATGGAGTTTTGGGGGTCTTCTATGTAGAGTATCATGTCATCTGCAAACAATGATAATTTAACTTTTTCTTTTCTATCTTTACCCCTTTTATTTCTCTCTCTTGTATTACTGCTCTGGCTAATAGTTCCAGTAGTATGTTAAGTAGGAGCAGTGATAAGGGACATCCTTGTCTTGTGCTTGATTTTAAGGTAAAGGCCTTCAGTTTTTGGCCATTTAATATGAGGTTGGCTGTGGATTTGTCATAGATGGCCTTTATCATATTGAGGTAAAGACCATCTATTCCATTTTTCTATAAGCCTCTTAGAATGAATGAGTGTTGGACCTTATCAAAAGCTTTTTCTGCATCTATACAGATGATCATGTGATTCTTACTTTTGGATTTGTTGATATGATGGGTTACACTTATTGAATTACTACTATCCCTGCATGCCTGGGATGAATCCCACTTGGTCGGGCTGTATAATATTGATGATGTGCTGCATCCTGTTTGCCAATTTTACTGAGAATTTTTGCATCTGTGTTCATTAGGGAGATTGGCCTGTAGTTCTCTTTTTTAGTTGGGTCTTTCTCAGGTTTTGGCACTACAGTAATATTTGCTTTCAGGAATAACTTAGTAAGAATTTCTTCCCTTTCAATTTCATTGAGGAGTTTGAGGAGTGTCAGCATTAAGTCTTCTTTGTATTTCTTGTTAGAATTCCACAGTGAATCCGTCTGGGCATAGGCTCTTCTTTGTAGGTAGGGACTTAATTACGTTTTCAATTTCATTAATAGAAATTGGGTTATTTCAGCAGTTTTACATCTTCTTGACCCAGCTTTGGTAGTTCACATGTTTCTAGGGATCTGTCCATGTCTTCTGTGTTATCAAACCTATGAGAGTAGAGGTTTTTTAAATAGGTGTTGAAGATCTTCTGTATTTCCATAGATTCTATAGTGATTTCACCTTTTTCATCCCTTATTACATGAATTTGAGCTTTTTCTCTCCTTTTTAAAATAAGGTTGGCTAGGGGCTTATCAATTTTATTTATTCTTTCAAAGAACCAACTCTTTGATTCATTGATTTTTTTGGATTGTTTTCTTAGTCTCTCTTAATTTTTGCTCTGGTTTTTATAATTTCCTCCCCTTTTTTGGCTTTGGGATTGACTTGCTCTTCTTTTTCTTGATATTTGAGGTCTAGCAACAGGTTGTTTGTTTGTATTCATTCTGTTTTCCTGACATGGGAACTCAGTGCAATAAATTTTCCTCTGTGGACTGCTTTCATTGCATCCCACAGATTCTAGTAAGTTGTATTTGTATTTTCATTTGCTTGTAGGTATTAATTTCTTCTTTAACTTCCTCTGTGACCCACTGATTGCTCAAGAGTGTATTATTCGCGCGCCTGGCCACAGGTCTGCAGAGGAGGAGCTGGGCAGATCTGGGGTGCCCTCACTGGCCTCTCTGCGTGTCTGGAGGACTCTGGATTTCTGCGCCCAGACTGCTGGAGTTCCCTCAGGCTTCCAGGTGCAGTGAAGGAGAGAGGTGGGTTTAAGGCTTCCACATCAGCCTCCCCATTCCCGGCTTCATTTGGAGACCTGCTGAGCTCCCGATAGGTGGGCTGGCCCACACTACCAGCCTAGCCCAGCCTGTTTAGCTGCCGCCCTGGCCACAGGTCTGCATAGGAGGAGCTGGGCAGATCTGGGGTGCCCTCACTGGCCTCTCTGCGTGTCTGGAGGACTCTGGATTTCTGCGCCCAGACTGCTGGAGTTCCCTCAGGCTTCCAGGTGCAGTGAAGGAGAGAGGTGGGTTTAAGGCTTCCACATCAGCCTCCCCATTCCCGGCTTCATTTGGAGACCTGCTGAGCTCCCAATAGGTGGGCTGGCCCACACTACCAGCCTAGCCCAGCCTGTTTAGCTGCCGCGCCTGGCCACAGGTCTGCAGAGGAGGAGCTGGGCAGATCTGGGGTGCCCTCACTGGCCTCTCTGCATGTCTGGAGGACTCTGGATTTCTGCGCCCAGACTGCTGGAGTTCCCTCAGGCTTCCAGGTGCAGTGAAGGAGAGAGGTGGGTTTGAGGCTTCCACATCAGCCTCCCCATTCCCGGCTTCATTTGGAGACCTGCTGAGCTCCCGATAGGTGGGCTGGCCCACACTACCAGCCTAGCCCAGCCTGTTTAGCTGCCGCCCTGGCCACAGGTCTGCAGAGGAGGAGCTGGGCAGATCTGGGGTGCCCTCACTGGCCTCTCTGCGTGTCTGGAGGACTCTGGATTTCTGCGCCCAGACTGCTGGAGTTCCCTCAGGCTTCCAGGTGCAGTGAAGGAGAGAGGTGGGTATAAGGCTTCTACATCAGCCTCCCCATTCCCGGCTTCATTTGGAGACCTGCTGAGCTCCCAATAGGTGGGCTGGCCCACACTACCAG